ACCAAGAGTAGTATTGCTGGATCCTGAAGTAGGTTGACTCCCAATTTTCTGAGAAACCACCACACTGATTTCCAAAGTGGTTGCACAAGTTTGCATTCCCACCAGCAATGGATGAGTGTTCCCCTTGCTCCACAAACTCTCCAGCATAAGCTATCATTAGTGTTTTTAATCTTAGCCATTCTGACAGGTATAAGATGGTATCTCAAAGTTGTTTTGATTTGCATTTCCCTGATAGCCAAGGAAGAAGAACATGTCTTTAAGTATCTTTTGGCCATTTGCAATTCTTCTGATGAAAATTCTCTATTTAGTTCAGTACACCAGTTTTTAACTGGATTATTTAGAATATTAATGTCTAATTTCTTGAGTACTTTATACATTTTAGAGATCAGTCCTTTGTCTGATGTGGGGTTGGTGAAGATTTTTTTCCCATCCAGTAGGCTGTCTTTTTGTCTTATTGACTGTGTCCTTTGCTTTACAGAAGCTTCTCAGTTTCAGGAGATCCCATTTATTTGATTCTCTTATTGTCTGTGATACTGAGGTTATATTTAGGAAGTGGTCTCCTGTGCCCATGCATTGAAAGTTACTTCCCAATTTCTCCTCTATCAGGTTCAGTGTGATCAGATTTATATTGAGGTCTTTAATCCATTTGCACTTGAGTTTTGTGCATGGCAACAGATATGGATCTATTTTCATTCTTCTACAGCTTGACATCCAGTTATGCCAGCACCATTTGTTGAAAATGTTTTTTTCCATTGTATCTTTTTTGCTTCTTTGTCAAAAATCAGGTGTTCATAGGTATGTGAAATAATATCTGAGTCTTCAACTCGATTCCATTGGTCAACGACTCTGTTTTTATGCCATTACCAAGCTGTTTTCATTACTGTAGCTCTGTAATAGAGCTTGAAGTCAGGGATGGTAATGCCTCCGGCAGTTCCTTTATTTTACAGGATTGTATTGGCTATCCTGGGTTTCTTGTTTTTCCATATGAAGTATCATTCTCTCAAGGTCTGTGAAGAATTGTGTTGGGATTTTGACTGGGATTGCATTGACTACTTTGGTAAGACTGCCATTTTTACTATGTTTACTACTATCCAAGAACATGGGAGATCTTTCCATTTTCTGGTATCTTCTTCAATTTCTTTCTTCAGAGACATAGAGTTCTTGTCAAATAGGTCTTTCACATCCTTTGTTAATGTCACCCCAAGATATTTTCTGTGATTTGTGGCTATCGTGAAAGGTAATGTTTCTCTTATTTCCCTCTCAGCTTCTTTATCCTTTGTGTATAGGAGGCCTACTAATTTTTTTAGTTGATCTTGTATCCTGCCATTTCACTGAAGGTATTTATCAGCTGTAGGAGTTCTCTGGTAGAATTTTTTGGGTCACTTATATACTTTATTACATCATCTGCAAATAATGAAAGTTTAACTTCTTCCTTTCCAATTAGAATCCCCTTGATCTCCTTTTGTTGTCTTAATGTTATTGCTAAAACTTCAGAACTGTGTTGAAGAGATACGGAGAGAGTGGACAGCCTTGTCGTGTTCCTGATTTTAGTGTAATCGCTTTGAGTTTCTCTCCATTTAATTTGATGTTAGCTGTCAGCTTGCTATATATTGCTTTTATTATATTTAGATATGATCCTTGTATCCCTAATCTATTCAAGACCTTTATCATGAAGGGATGTTGAATTTTGTAAAATGTTTTTTCTGCATCCAATGAAATGATCATGTTGTTTTTTTCTTTCAGTTTATTTATATGATGGATTACATTGATAGATTTTTGTATGTTGAACCAGCCCTGTATCTCTGGGATGAAGCCTACTTGGTCGTGATGGATGATTTTTTCGATGTATTCTTGGATTCAGTTTGCCAGAATTTTATTGAGAATTTTTGCATCCATGTTCATGAGTGAGATTTGTTTGTAATTATCTTTCTTGGTTGAGTCTTTGTGCGGTTTTTGTTATCAGGGTAACTGTAGCTTCATAAAAAGAATTTGGCAGTGAGCCTTCTATTTCTATTATGTGGAACACTTTGAAGAGTATAGGTATTAGCTCTTCTTGAAAGTTCTTGGGGAAATCAGCACTAAAACCATCTGGCCCTGGGCTGTTTTTGGTTGGGAGGTTTTTTGATGACAGCTTCTATCTCCTTGCAGCTTATGTGTCTATTTAAATTGCTCCCCTGGTCTTGATTTGATTTTGGTAGGTGGTATCTATCTACAAAATTGTCCATTTCTTTTACATTTTCCAGTTTTGTGGAGTAAAGATTTTTGTAGTAGGACCTAATGATTCTCTGAATTTCCTCAGTGTTTGTTGTTATGTCCCCCTTTTCATTTCTGATTTTGTTAATTTGGATGTTCTCGCTCTGCCTTTTGATTAGTTTGGATAAGGGTTTGTCAATCTTGTCAATTTTCTCAAAGAACCAGCTCTTTGTTTCAGTTATTCTTTGTATGGTTTTCTGTATTTCTATTTTGTTGCTTTCAGCCCTCAACTTTATTATTTCCTGTCTTCTCCTTTGGGGTGAGTCTGCCTCTTTTTTTCTAGAGCTTTCAGGCATGCTGTTAGGTCACTGGTGTGAGCTTTCTCCATTTTCTTTATGTTGCCACTCAGAGCCTCTTAGCACTGCTTTCATAGTGTCCCATAGGTTTGGATATGTTGTGCCTTCATTTTCACTGAATTCAAGGAAGATTTTAATTTCTTTATTTCTTCCTTGACCCAGGGGTGGTTCAGTAGTTGACTATTCAGTTTCCATGAGTTTGTAGGCTTTTGGGGGGTAGTATTGTTGTTAAATTCTAACTTTACTTCATGGTGATAAGACACAGGTGGTTACTCCAATTTTTTGTATCTGTGGGTGTTTGCTTTGTTACCGAGTATGTGATCAATTTTAGAGAAGGTTCCATGAGGTGTTGAGAAGAAGGTATATTCTTTCCTGTCTGGGTGGACAGGAAAGTGTTCTCTAGATGTTTGTTAAGTCCCATTTGATCCATTACATCTGTTAGTTCTCTATATCTCTGTTAAGTTTCTGTCTGTTTGACCTGTTCATTGTCAAGAAAGGAGTGTTGAAATCTCCTACTATTAGTGTGTGGGGTTTGATGTGTGATTCAAGTTTCAGTAATGTTTCTTTTACATATGTGGGTGCTCTTGAATTGGGGGCATAGACATTCAGGATTGAGACTTCATCTTGATGAACTGTTCCTGTTATGAGTATAAAGTGTCCTTCTTCATCTCTTCTGATTGATTTTAGTTTGAAATAAATTTTGTTAGATATTAGTATAGACACACCCGCTTGTTTTTAGGTCTATTTGATTGGAAAACCTTCCCCAACCCTTTATTCTGAGGTACTGTCTGTCTTTGAGGTTGAGTTGTGTTTCTTGTAAACAGCAGAATGTTGGATCCTGTTTATGTATCCATTCTCTTAGCCTGTGTCTTTTTATAGGTGAATTGAGACCATTCATATCAAGTGATAATAATGACCAGTGGTTGCTAACTCCGGTTCTCTTTTGGTAGTAGTGTTTGTGTGTTTCCCTTCTTTAGGTTATGCTGGTGGGGGTTATCAGATGCCTGTGTTATTGTGGGTGTAGTTAGCTTCCTTGGGTGTGGCTTTCCTTCTAGTACTTTCTGTAAGGCTAGGTTTGTAGATACATATTGTTTAAATCTTTTTTTTTGTCATTGAATACCTTGTTTTCTCCATCAATGTTCTCAATGTTCTGTATGTTTTGTGTTTTGATTATTATGTGGTGAAGGGATTTTTTTTTTGATACAGTCTATTTGGTTTTCTGTAAGCTTCTTGTACCTTCATAGGAATATCTTTCTTAGGTTGGGAAAGTTTTCTTCTATTATTTTGTTGAATATATTTTCTGTGCACTTGAGCTGGAGTTCTTTTTCTACCCCTATTATTCTTAGGTTTGGCCTTTTCATGGTGTCCCAGATTTCCTGAATGTTTTGTGTTAAGAATTTGTTGGATTTAATGTTTTCTTTGACCAATGAGTCTATTTCCTCTATAGTATCTTCAGTGCCTAAGATTCTTTCTTCTATCTCTTGTATTCTGTTGGTTATACTTGTCTCTGTAGTTCCTTTTTGTTTACCCAGATTTTCCATATCCAGCCTTCCCTCGGTTTGTGTTTTTTTTTTTATTATCTCTATATCAATCTTCAAATCTTGAACTGTTTCCTTTACCTGTTTGATTGCTTTTTCTTGGTTTTCTTTGAGGGATTTATTAATTTCTTCCAGCTTTTTGTTTGTCTTCTCCTCCATTTCTTTTTTCTTTTTTTTTTTTTTTACCAGAAAATAACTTTATTTGTTCCAGGGAGCTGGCCGAAGAGCTCTCAGAACTTCTGAAACTGTTTCTTGGTGCCAGCAGCATTAGTGACCTTGAGCACGTTGAAACACAGTCTTGCTCAGGGGACTGTACTCTCCCACAGTGACAATGTCTCCGATCTGTACATCCCTGAAATGGAGACAGGTGCACAGACATGTTCTTGTGGCATTTCTCAAAGTGATTGTACTTTCAGATGTAATGAAGATTGTCCCGGCAGATGACAATGGTCCTCTGCATCTTCGTCTTGGTCAAGACACCAGACAGAATGCAACCTCGCATGGAGACGTTGCCAGTGAACAGGCATTTCTTGATAATGTAGGTGCCCTCGATGGCCTCCTTGGACATCTTGAAGCCTAGACTGATGGTTTTATAGAACCGAGGGAGTTTTTCCTTGCCGGTTTCTCTAAGCAGAACACGCTTCTTGTTTTGAAAGATTGTGGGCTGCTTTTGGTCAGCATGTTTGGTCTGAATATCCGCCATCTTCCCGTCAGCCTGAGGAAAAGAGAGGTGGGATAACTCCCCGGTTTCCTTCTTCACTACCTCTCCTCCATTTTTTTTAAATATTTATTTATTATTTATTATGTATACAATAGTCTATCTGTGTGTATGCCGAAGGCCAGAAGAGGGCACTAGACCTTATTACAGATGGTTGTGAGCCACCATGTGGTTGCTGGGAATTGAACTCAGGACCTTTGGAAGAGCAGGCAATGCTCTTAACCACTGAGCCATCTCTCCAGCCCCGTCTCTCCTCCATTTTTTAAGGGAGTTTTTCACTTCCTCTTTAAAGGTCTCCATCATTTTCATTAAGTAACCTTTAAAGTCGTTTTCTTCTATATCTTCTGGGTAAGGATGATCAAGTCTTCCTGTTGTGTGTCTGTTGGGTTCTGGTGGTACCATGTTGCTTTTTAGGAAGTTGGAGGAGTTCTTGCATTGGCACCTTCCCATCTCTTCCTTCAACCCTTATGTCCACCAAAAACTGGTCTCCATGGAGCTTGCAGGGAACAATGCGTTGGGGGTGATGTAGATGGCTGTCTAGCTGCATTCAACAAAATTTAACACCCTTTCATAATAAAAGTCTTGGAGAGACTAGGGATACAAGGGTCATACCTAAATATAATAAAAGCTATATACAGCAAGCCAACAGCTAACATCAAATTAAATGGAGAGAAACTCAAAGCACTCCCACTGAAATCAGGAACATGTTCTCCATATCTATTCAATATAGTACTTGAAGTTCCAGCTAGAGCAAAAAGACAAAAAAAAAGGAGAACAAGGGGATACAAATCAGAAAAGAACTCAAACTCTCACTATTTGCTGATGATATGATAGTATGTTTAAGTGACCTCAAAAATTCTACCAGGGAACTTTTACAACTTATAAACAGCTTCAGTGATATAGCAGGATACAAGATTAACAAAAACAAAAAACAAAAACAGTAGCACTCTTTATAAAGATAATAATGGACTGACAAAGAAATCAGAGAAATATCACCCTTCATGATAGCCACAAATAACATAAAATACCTTGGGGTAATGCTACCCAAACTGTTGGGACCAATTAAGTCCTAGCCTTCAGCTGCTCTTCCCTGTCTAGAGCCTTCTAATTGAAGTTACTAAAAGCTGTGCTTTGCCTAGAGGATCAGAGGCTGTGATTTTCACCTGTTGGCCATTGACTGCAGGGTATTTAAGCCTCCAAGGTGCTATTAAAGAGAGGCTTTTTGATACCAGTGTTGGAAGGTCTGTGTGTCGGTCTGTCTCTGCGTGTGTATTCTCAACCTCCAGCCCCTTGCCCGAAGCTTGCGAACTGGACTGACAAAGAAATCAGAGAAATATCACCCTTCATGATAGTCACAAATAACATAAAATACCTTGGGGTAATATTACCCAAACAAGTGAAAGACCTGCATGACAAGAACTGTAAAACTTTAAAGAAAGAAATTCAAGAAGACAACAGAAAATGGAAAGACCTCCCATGCTCTTGGGAAGGTAGAATTAACATAGTAAAAATGGCAATCTTACCAAAAGCAATCTACGGATTCAAAAAAAAAGTCCATTAAAATTCCAACAAAATTCTTCACAGACCTCAAAAGAACAATACTCAACTTCATGTGGAAAAACAAAAAACCCAGGGTAGTCGAAACAAACCTGTATAACAAAAGAACTTCTAGTGGCATCATTTTCCGGACTTTAAACTCTACTATAGAGCTACAGTAATGAAAACAGCCTGATATTGGCATAAAAACAGACAGGAGGACCAATGGAAGCAAATCAAAGACCCAGATATTAATTCACACACCTACGAACACATGATTTTTGACAAAGAAGCAAAAAACATAAAACAGAAAAAAAGAAAGCATATTCAACAAATGGCGGCATAACTGGATATCAACACATAGAAGGATGCAAATAGATCCATATCTTTCACCATGCACAAAACTCAGGTCCAAATAGATCAAAGAGCTCTACATAAAACCAACCACACTGAACCTCATAGAAGAGAAAGTGGGAAGTACACTTGAATGCATTGGCACAGGAGACCACTTCCTAAATTTAACAATTAATAAATGGGATCTCCCAAAACTGAGAAGCTTCTGTAAAGCAAAGGATATAGTCAACAAGACAAAATGGCAGTCTACAGATTGGGAAAAGATCTTCACCAACCTCACATCAGACAGAGGACTGATCTTCAAAATGTACAACAAACTCAAGAAACTTGATTCAAAATAACAAACAATCCAATAAAAAAAAAATGAAGTACAGACCTAAACAGAGAACTTTCAACAGACAAATCTCAAAGGGCTGAACGACACTTAGGGAAACGTTCAATATCCTTAGCCATCAGAGAAGTGCAATCAAAACAACTCTAAGATTGCATCTTAAACCTATAAGAATGGCCAAGATCAAAAACACTGATGACAGCTTATGCTGGAGAGGATGTGGGGTAAAGGGAATACGTTTCCGTTTCTGGTGGGAGACTTGTACCATCGCTTTGGAAATAAGCATGGCAATTTCGCAGAAAATTAGAAAACAATCTACCTCAAGACCCAGCAATAACAAAAGATGTTCAATCATACCACAAGGACATGTGCTCAACTATGTTTATAGCAGCATTATTTGTAATAGCCATAACCTGGAAACAACCTAAATGCCCCTCGACTAACTGAAGAATGGATAAGAAAAATGTGGTACATTTACACAGTGAAGTACTGCACAGTGGAAAAAAAAAAAACAATGATGGATCTAGGAAAAAAACATATTGATGGAGGGGGGAGGGGAAAGGCAGGGAGAGGAGCAGAGAAAAATGTAAAGCTCAATAAAATCAATTTTAAAAAAACATATAGAGTGAGGTAACCCAGACTCAGAAAGACAAATATAATACATATTCACATATAAGTGACTTTTAGACATAAAGCAAAGAAAAACCAGCCTACAATTCACAATCCCAGAGAAACCAGACAACATAGAGGATCCTATGAGAGACATATATGGATCTCCATAGGAAGGTAAAAAAGACAAGATCTCTTAAGTAAATTGCAAGCATGGGGGTCATGGGAGAGGGAGTAGGAAAAGATATATAGCTCAATAGAAACAATAAAAAATGTTAAATTAAAAATATACTAAATGAGCTGTAGATACCTTTTTACTTTGTGTTTATTTTTACTGAAAAATGGATAAAACCCTCTTGGTGGATGTTTCCCCCATATAACTACAAGTGTCTCCTGCCCCTCTTTATTTCCAGGACCCTGGGTAGAACCCAGGGCCTCATGTACGCTAGAGAAGCACTCTGCCCTTTACCATTGGAAATACCATTTATCCCCAGCCTAGCTTCTTTTTCTCAATAATTCTTTTTTGTCTTAAATTTTATGTGATCTGATAGTAATATTCCTATCCGCAGCTTTTTTTTAGCATTAATAATTCCCCAGCATACTTTTTTTGTATATCCATTTATTTACCATGACATCTTTGTTCAATGTCCGACAGCAGCATATACCTAGATTTTAGCATGCTTTATTTACTCCAGTCTGGCCGTGTTAATATAGATGATTACTTCTCATTTATCATGACCACCAACACTCTCAACTTACTACTCCTGTCTGTCATTGTGTTTTCTCTTCACCATCTCCATTAGTGCGCTCTATCTGCTTTGGTGAACTACCGCAGAGCAAGTGGCCTACAATAGAAGCTTCTGCTTTCACAGTCCGGGAAGAAACCAGAGGTCTAAAATCCAAGTGCCAGCAGGGCCCTGTCCTTGCCTCACACAGCTACTGGTGGCTTTAAACATTCCTAGCTTGTGATTGTCCCACACCCCCTCTACCCACACCATCACATCTCCTGCTGTGTGTCTGCATGCTGTGCATTTTGTAAAAACGCTCTCTTGGGGGCATTTAAAATGCATTCATATAACTCAGAATTTTGGTATTACTAATCACATATGTAAAAAAAAATTTTTTTTTGAAACAAGGTCACATACCCATGATTCAAGAATTAGGGTGTGGGCAAAGTTGGAGGAACCTCATTGACCTCCCTACAACATCCTTATCCCATGTTCTTTGCTTCAATTTTTTTCTCCTTTTTTTTTTTTTTTTGACTAATGCTCTATTAATAAAGTTGCTTATGTGTGTCTTTCTCACTTCTGCCTTCTCATCCACTATGGATATTTGCATTATTTTTATAATGGCATACATATATACATATATCTTTACATTTTTCTAACAAAATGCAAATGGTCAGTACTTCTATTCTTTTTTTCCTTTCCTTTAACTTTTCTTTTTTTTATTTTTTCATTCAAAAATTTACACTTCCTCCCCTCCTCCCATTCCCCTCCTACTCCCCCATTCCCCCTCCTCCCTTCCCCTCCCTCCTGAAGAGAGGGCAGGGAACCCTGCCCTGTGGGAAGTCCAAGGCCCTCTCCCCTACATCCAGGTCTAGGAAGCTTTGCATCCAAATAGACTAGGGTCCCAAAAAGCCAGTACATGCAGTAGAAACAAGTCCCAATGCCTTTATCAATGGCTTCTCAGTCAGCCCCCATTGTCAGCCACATTCAGAGAGTGTTTCTGTATGAAATTAAAGATTGTCTCTTCAATTTCCATGTTGGAATGTGTTGGAATTTTGATGGGGACTGCACTGAATCTGTAGAATGTTTTTGGTAGAATGGCCATTTTCATTGTACTATCCTCTCAGTCAATGAGCATGGGAGATCTTACCATTTGATGTCTTCTTCACTTTATTTCTTCAGTATCTTTTTTATTATACAAGTCTGTCATTTGCTTGGTTAGAGTTATTTCAGGATATTTCTTGAGGCTATTGTGAAAGGTATTGTTTCCCTGCTTTCTTTCTTAATCTATTTGTTATTTGCATATAGGAAGACTACCGATTTACCAATTTTGTATTTTGCTGCTTTGCTGAAAATAAATATCTTCTGGAGATGTTTCCTGGTGGAACTTTTAGGGTCTTTTATGTATATAATCATATTATATGTAAATAAAGATACTTTAATGTCTTCCTTTGCTATTTGCATCCCTTGATCTCTTTCAATTGTTTTATTCCCTAGCTAAGTCTTCAAATGCTATACTGAATAGGTTTGGAGATGATGGATCAGCCTGACTCCATCTTAAGGATAGAAACCATTTTGTTATAAAGGCAGAATAAGTTCCTTTCTGTTTGCTGCAAAATTCAACCCGACTGCGCTATAGCCTGTTTCTGGAGTTTATTGCTCTCCCCACCCTGTGGAGTTTGACTAAC